CACTGGGGCAATGCAGCCTTCTGAAACGTGGTGCCACAAACACCAAAATAAACAGCTTTCATGAGACATACACACAGAGAGGAAGATACAGCAATAGAGCACTGTGTGCCCGAAGTGATTTTTCTGCCTCTAATAGATGATGCAAGAAGAGCACAGACAGTTGCCGTGGAGGTTTCCCCATTGTGGTCTTGGCTGCAGCATCTTGTAAGAGCTGTTTTAAAGGCAAAAGGGCAGATGTCAATCTTTGATCTTTCTGTTGAGAGGGTGATCTATTAAAGATTTAGCTAGCTGGGTATCTGCTCCCTCAACAGGCTGCCAAACCCATTGCTTAAGGTAACAGCCTACTGTTCGTCAGATCAATGCTGACTAGATGTCAAAAGCTCAGTCTCCTTTCATCAAATCTGCAAGTCATCCAAAAATACTTTATTAATGGGGAAAGGTAATGGTGGGAGGTAAGCGCGGGAATCACAGTGGTGGCTATGTAAAGAAACCGAAACAAAGAGGTCTGAGATTTCTGTCTGAAAAGACGAACCTACTCATCCACGTCAGTGCAGTTCGATAAACCCTCTTAATCAGATGAAAATCTTATTCTGAGCCAGACTCTATCGCTTGCACTGATTTGTGGGGAGGTAGAGAGTCGAAGGGGCAGCTCAAGGGAAACTCCTCAGAGCCACCTATTCTCCTTGCTAAAGGCTAGGTGGCACCAGGGATACTCCTAGGGGAGGCTGTTTATGAAGGCAGGACATGGGAAAAAGGATTAGCAACTTCACCTGCTCCTTAAAAGAGCCCCCCTCAGCGTGCCTCTCCTCTGAGATTGTACAGATAAGCCTATTCATTTTGCATTAGCTGGGCCCTCAGGCCAGGCTCAACAGTCCTTATTCCGTCTTGCTGCTACCCAGGGACACGGAAGAGGTCATCAGCAAACTCCCTGAGCCCTCCTCTCCCTATGCATCCCAGCAAAAGAAGACAGAAAGTGTAGGCAAACAATAATGCCGGCTGAATTGCCCAATATGTCTATTTAATTAGCATACAGAAGAGTCCCAAATGTTATTTTCTCCTTGTTCGAAGAAGAGAGAAGAAGAACATGTCACTGGCATTGCAGAGGGCAAGAAGGGTTTTATAGATCATTTCACCTTAACAGTCATGGAGAAACTATTACAATGCATACCCAAATTGAAAAGACAAAAACAAGGTCTCTGTAGCACCGATTTTTCTCTGTTGTACATCACTGGGATGTGGGATTTGATTTAGCAGCATTTAATTCCTCTGGACAAATGAAAAGGGTGCAGGACATTGATTTTCTGTACATCCGTAACTCTCCCACCACTGCAGAATTGCTCTGTGTGCATCTGAAAATATTTCTCCATAAAAAGCACACATGCAAAATAAAATCTTTTGCCATAGTCGTTTTCAGAGGTATAGTGATTTGGAAAACGTGCACAAATTGCTCTAACCGTTATATTGATGCTATTGAGCTTCCTGCCCGGTGACAAAGGAAATTTTCTGCCCCCAAAAGTATCAGTTCTGCAGAGTTCTTTTTACTTTCATTGCTGTTATCTTTTATGACAGTCAGCCATAAAATCAAATGTGTTCCCTCAAAACCACTTTCATCTTTGTTTTTTAAAACCAGTGTTCTTATTCTTTACATATATTTTTCCACATTAATGGGAATATATTCCAGTAAAAACATAAAAAAGACCATGCCCTGCCTTGTATTTCATGGACATTGGAAATGAAAGAGTCAAAGATGTGCACTAAAGATTTTAAAAGCACCCATCTGACTTCTTTATGAAAATGCTTAGCTTTTCCCTAAAGAAGAAAAATTTCAGCTAGTCTGAGGATTAAAAACAGAATGTAAAGATCTTCTATGTAAAGTTTCCGGCTTCTCAGACTCAAACATTGGAAATTTTTTTGCAAGGCTCTCTCTTCAGGCTAATTTAATTAGATAAAGTGGTACTAGAACACCCTGTCACTGTTACTGTTCTCGTGCTCTCCAACCAGAAGGCAACAACTCCCACAGAGTCCCTGTGCATGTTCTTTACAGCAATGCTTTACCTACTGTTTAAAAATATCCCACAGTGCAAAGTACATATAACTATAACTCTTATTTTGTACCTTCTCTCTATTACAAAGAAAAAAAATATATGTGTGAAAAAGATACAAATATTTATTTTCCTCTCTTAAAAATTAACCTTCTTAATATATTCAACATTTCTGTCTAGCAGGTCTCTTCAATGAGAGCTCGGCTGCACTCTCATTCCACCTCGTGCCACTGCTATTGCTGTGCTGTTGTCTCTGGTTTTATCAATGACAGAAACAAATTTGCCTGCTAAGAAGAGTTAATCACCTCTACATCGATTTCATTCCTGGGCAGAGGCTCAAAGTCCATGAACACATAATCTTTTGCAAATCAAAACCTATTTCTCTCTTTCATGCATCATTTACAATCCCAAGATGATGTACAACTAGCATCACACCTGTATTTTAGTCCTTTCTTCTCAATTACCTGTCCTTTAGAAAAGAAAGCATAGCTGACCTTTACTTTTTTCTTGTCATATATTTTATTGTCTGTTTGTCTTGTTTTCCTTTGCTTTACCTAAAGAACTGCAAGAGAAAGCCTGGTTCAAAAACGGCAGCAGAAGACCACCTTAGCACAGTGCTCTCCTTCATATTTAGGCAGAACAGATCTCAAGAACAGTAAAATATCAGGGAAGACGAATGTGCCCAGTTTTCAGTTGCTGGGATTACACAACTGACCCCACAGAAACACTGTGTAACCGAGATCCCTTTGAGCCCCAGCTTACCCATGTAAATGGCAGACCTAGCCTGGTTTGTGGACAATTTCTCCAGCCTCTGCAACTGCGGGCCTGAAGCCGGCAGCAGCGTAGGCTTGGGCTGCCATCCTCACGCCACCCTCTGAGCAGCTCAGTCACTACTGCTCTGCCCTAGGTTACCACTGCTGCATTAGCCAAAAATAGCAAATGAAACCAAAATAGCCTCAAAAGCAGCAGAGTCAAAGGGCTTTGCCAGCCTGACTGGTGCAAGCTGCCAAGCCAATGATCTCATACCTCCTTCTTCAGGCACCAGAATGAATCCTCACAGTCACTGTCTCCTGCAACTTCTTCTCCAGCTCCACCTGCAGTGGATGTATTTTCCTGAGCTTCCACTGCTTTGAAGAAGATGTTATTTTACCACTACCTTAAATATATTGTTTATCCTTTTCTACACTAATTAAGTGCTATGAGCCCTAGATTCTTGGTCTACTTACAGGAAGGCGCACAGACACTGCAACTGTGACATGCATTAACCAACCTCTTTGGCAACAACCAAGTTGACTGATAAACTTGGGTTCTGATGACAGTTTCATTTTAACAAGCTATTAGTGTGGCTGGGTTTGTGGCTCATGCTAATAATCTGATGTGCACAGCTTTTGACGCCCTCCTCCCCCTCAGACTCCAGTAGATAATGTTAATCTCTAATTGGATATCGGTTTTGTTTGCATATAATTGCTGCTGTTTATTATGCAAAACATTTGTCCTCTAATATATTCAGATACATGTCTGTTCAAGACTGGCCTTCTACATTTGTTCAATGCAATTTGCTTTACAGTCTTACAAAGTTCTTCTAGCATGAAATTTTTAAGAAAAAAGAACTAATTTTTCACTTAGAGTGAAAACTACAGTCACCACATCAGCATTGCCACATTTCTGAATGCTGATGTTAATAAAAGCTTAAAAAATTAACACAGTGCTAGCTGCCCTCCTGCTTGTCCTTCTTCACTCCAGTGGACTCCCATGGATGAAAAAAAATGAAGATGTATTAAGTAACAAGAATTTATTTTTTCAGTTTTTCTGCTGCAGTCAACTTGCTGGAAAAGCCAATTCTTACAAACAAATAAACAGGACCAAAGTTTAATACAGATTTTTTTCTACAGCCTTTCTTCCTACACCCACCTTCGCTTTCTCAAGCTGAGAGCACCACACTGCCATTAAAAGCTTATGCTTTTGATCTCTGTGCAAATAAATGAGCTGAAACAAATAAAACCCAGCTCACAAGAGACTTTCAAGACATCTGGTGGAGTTATTTTTCTAAGTAATTAGACCAAGTGGTGGTGTAATTCCCAAATGAAAGATAACTTCTTGCTAGGTATCCCGTTATTTCTCAGAACCATCCAAACAGCAATGAGTCCTGCTTCTCACCTTGCATGTGACTCAAACTATTGATTTTCAGTCTTCCCAAACAGGAACAATCATATCTTTGATTTACGCTGCTTTCTTACTGAAGTTTTTAAACCTTTTGGGGGTTTTTTTTTGATACTGTGAGGGTCCTATTTTTTTCCATGAATGTCAGTGGCATTTCTGGTATTGACTGAGAAAGCATGAAGCTCTTGGCTTCTTTTTTTTATTTTCCTTGCTAGCCTACTGTAGTTCTCCTTTCACACAGGCTCTACGGAGCAGGCAGGAAAGTGTAACGGAGTAACAGCCAGGTGCTGGCTCTGGATCAATGCACTGCTCAAACTGTGCCCAGGTGTGTTTTCTCCATCTTACTTGCTGGAAGCTGAGTAAATTTCTCCTTTTTTTTTCACAAATCTCCCAAAGAAAACATCGTTCTACGAACAACGCAAACGCTTTTCACCACTTTGGGCAGAACGTGGTTCTTGGTCTGTGACTGCAATACCGTGCAAGCCCCAGGAATTTGTGACAGCGGGGAAGCGAACAAAGGGTAGACCTGGCTGAGAAAGCAATTCCCTTTTGTTTGTGCACAGTTCTCCCATGGGTTTTTTGTTTCAGACTCAGGCAGGGTGCTCTACAAGCATACTCTACTAACTGACCTGGATGCAGACACCACCTCTGTGCTATGACAGCTAATGTTCAGAATTCACAGCTGTATCAAGAGTAAAGAAAAGCAGCTTTCACATAAAATAGCTGCTAGATTACAACCATTGGCTTGATATTAATGCATTTTAATTCTCATCCCTCCATGACATAATGCAAACTCACCAGAGGTTTCATCTACTCTCTCGTCCACCACATGGTCCTTCTGATGAACCCATTCACTGTTGCACTTAAAATAGATCTGCGTGGCTGGGCTCGCTTTGCAGTACAGATTCACAGGCTTATTCTTCACAATGTAAGCCTCTTCGGGCTCGATGAGGAAGTGGGGCAGTGGCTCTGGAGGATCAGAAGGAAAAGTTTCTGGAAGTTCATGAAAAAAATCATCATCTGTAGGGAAGAGAGAAAAAGGACAAATGAAACAACCAAAATTCAGCTGGCAAAGATTTACAAGCAGTTTCTGAAAATTTCAAAAGGAGCATACTTTTCAAAGAAAATGTTCTCTTAGCAGCATTCCTAGACCGAGGCTTAAATGCACGGCTGTTTTCAGAGTAGAAGAAATTGTTCTTTACATCCCGAGTTCTCTTTCCTGTATGTGATGTGACAGAGATGTGCACATTCACATGACTGGGAATGGGCCTTTGTTATCATCACTGGCAATACTAGCAATAATGCATTATGTTAGCGCTTGGGAGAGTTGCCTGCAAAACCATAAAAAGAAATAATAGAAACTTTTGGAGGCTTCAAGGTCACACTTTTCAATAGTAACTTACCGCACTGTTTAATCAAGTGCATGCACATAGCTAGTATTGGCTGAGGCTGGTACAAATAGAGAATAGCGCCTTTCGTTTCAGATGAGCAATTTGAAATCTGCTCTTAGGGCAAAAAACTAAATGCAAGTCCAGTCTATGCCACTTTGTTCATATTCTGACTCTCTTGCTAAGAGTGCTAATGAAGGTGTCAAGCTATGCTTTATTTACTTCGTTTGTAGTGCACTGGTCTGTGCAGTCCTAACTATGGAGAGGAACCCGGAGCAGGGACATGGGGCTGAGCAGCTGTGATATGGTGACATTTTGGGCCAACACAGACCCATGCTGTTGGCGTAAGGCACTTCTGCACCTCTCTGGTGCGGCTGGTAATGAGTAGCGTTGATGCAAGAAGTCTGGAGAAGGAGGAAAAGAATCCAATGCACTAGAGGCAACACTGAAAATGCGTAGCTTACTTTCCTTTCTCTCTCCCTGCTTCTTCACAAATTCCCCTCTAAAATCCCTGTGCCCCTTTCTGCAGAGGAAGTCTTCCACATCCGAAAGCACCAAATCAGCGGAGAATAACCCTCTTCCCACCCACATCCCCACCTGCCGCCAGTGCGCAAGAACATCCGAGAGGCTCTGAGACGCAAAGGGGTGGGGGGCACCAACTACTGACAGATCCACCGCAGCAAGCTGACAGCCCTGAAGGCCTTACTCAGCCTCCCCCTTTCTGCCTCTGAAGCAGTCATCATGATACACACAGTGACGGACGTTGCTGACGGTCAATTAAACACCAGAGAACATCAAACTGAAAATACTGGGGAAGGCTGGCTATCTTCTCCCTGCCAGGCTTCATGAAGATGAAATGTCAGACAGCTACCTTCCCGTACCGAAGACAAGCCTGTGCAGGTTGTGTCCAGAATTACAAGGCGCATGAAAGGCTCTCCTTCCAGCCACTGCTTTTGCAGAAAGAGAAGAAAGAACAGTAACAGATGCAGGAGACAGAGGGAGAAGGTAATATGGTACCCATCCACTCAGCTGCATGGAGGTAGACTGTACATCTTTATCAGTGATGGGAATGCCTTACACAGCAAAAGACTTTGCGAATCTTTTGAACTATTTATGAAGAGAGCATATGTTCACTAATTAGGGTTTTTTTCCTCTTCCTATTAATTTAAAAATACTCCTGCTTTTTGAGTGTCTCATTTTAAGAAGAGTAACAGGCCTGACTCCTTACTGCATCACTCCCCAAGAGCTAATAGAACTGAACTGGTTCAATAATAGAAGAAAGGGTCACTAAATAAGGCCTGGGATTTTTCTAGCAAAGGGAAAATCTGTGACATAATACAACAATTCAATTTCCATCTCCAACTAATTATCTCCAAATACTCAAATTAAATTGATTTTTTATGACTTTCCCATCCTTCCTTTTTTTCTGCAGTTTCCTTTTCACTCTGACCATACCAGTCTCCTTCTGCAATCCCATTTCCTCGCCCTGTTAAAAATTTTTTCCTTGCTCCATTTGGTCCCCAGTTTTTTCCAAAGAGAAAGGTGAGTTACAATAAGTTAATGGGAGTCCACTTTTGGTTGGTGAAAACAAGACATGTTTGAACCAAAGCAAGAGGCTTTTCAGCATTCCTCATCCCCTTCTATCCGTATCTTCCCCTTTTCCCCACTCCCTTCTTCTCACACGCTGCTCCACAAACATCCACAAAACATTAGAGATGAATCATTTCCCCTGAATTGCCACAGGACATATCTTTTTCTTCTGGTCATTTAATTGCAAATCAGCAAGCAGACAGATGGAAACTAACAAAGCACACATATGTTTTATAATTAAACAAGTATTGCTTCACTAATTTCTGGTGACTGGAAGAACAAATGTATTTATTTTCACCACTAGATTTTTGCACATTATCAAAGACAATGCTTACATTGCCTGACTATTTAACTGCATCTTATCAAATTTGTAACTAGAAAGTCTAAAAAGAGGGATCAGCAAGATGCAGAAAAGAAAAAAGGTGGGTTTTAAAATTATTTCTTTAATCAGTCGGGAGAATGCGTGTGACTTTGGCTTTCCCTCCTGAAGGTAACTGCTTCTAAAGTCTAAACATTATTTTTAAGTTAAAGTGGATTCACAGCACTACTCAGTACGTGAAAACCTAGTCTCACGTTTTGACTGTGGTGATAGCTGTTTCTCCCCACCAGCCTGGCATTCCGCAGTCAGGGACAAGCCAGTTTTCTTACTGGTTTGTTGCTATAATTCCACCTTACTCTTCTTAAGCAATAACAAAGCCTAGCTTTATTTTTCCACACACTTTCTTATTGCTATCGAGAGGCATCTGAACTGTTCTTAAATGTTAGGGATATAGATGGAAACCATTCACATACTGTCACACAAACAGAGTGTGAGGAGGCTGTCTTGTCCCTGGAAACTGGCATTTAAAATCTGCCCTTTTAGAATAAATTCAAGATAGTAGCTAAGACAGATTTTTCTGGCTTTTTAAACTGGAGTATGTTCATTCAATCCCTGCCCTTCCACTGTTGCTATTAGTAGCAACATTGGACTTGTTGTTTTTAATACGGCAGATTCTTAAAGGAGCATCCCAAATACAACCACGACTGGGTTTTTCTGTGCTTGGCAGAAAAAAACCCAATCACACTGCAAAGCTGGTCCTACCTCCATTAGCATTCAGGACCCCTCACTCCTGCTATTCACTGCTGAAAAGTAACGGGCCGGTGCAAATCACAGCAGGAAGTCACTTGGTCTTCCCCGTGTTCTCCAAAGAGATGGGATCTGCTACTGCAGGGAGGCAAACCACTGCTCCCCTCCCATCTGGCCATGCCAGCCACCACCAGCTGAAGTCGCAGGAGCTGGTTTACAGGTAGACAGGGTGTGCAGCCACGGTTCCCCTGCACCGGGCTGTGGTACTCGCCTCTCGGGATGAGGAGGCGTTGAGGAGGAAGACCCTTAAATCCCCTCATGATTGCTGCGGCACGGCTCAGGACAGTTGGCCGATTCAGCTGCTGACCTGGGACAGGGTTTTGAACCGTCAACCTTAACACACATCTTGGATCCAAGTCTTGCATTTCATTCTTTTTTTAAATTAGACTGATACAGTGTTACGCTTTCATTGTAATGCTTGCAGCAACGTCTAAGCATAATTACAATGGTGGTGTAATCATACAACTAGTTTTAAAAATCCAACACAGATATTTACCTCTGAAAATGTCAATATAGGACATTTGACTGTGTGAGCTTTTTTGCAACTCTCTACAAATGAACTTTTGGTAAAACCAAAGCAATCCATGAATCTGTGTTTTCACGAGGCCACAGTTTCTAACAACTCAACAAACGCTTCCACCAAAGTTTCTCATGATCAGCTCTAGCTAAACACAGGTCGTTCCTCCGTCTATACAAAGATCAAACTCTGACTTGTGTTTTTCAGGGGTGATTGCATTATAAGCATGTGGCCTGCTGGGCCTGTTTCTATAAATTGGATGGGGGTCACCTCTCGTTGCATGCTCCATCTCTGTACAGAGGGATAAATCTTGCCTGAGACTTTGATCTGAATCTTCCTGACAGTTATCACTGGTTATTTAAAATGTTCATCTCCTGACGGCACAACAAAGCAGCACACTTTGTATCTCTCTTATTTAACTCTCCTAAGGTATTAGACATTTTTTCTTCTATGTAGAGGAAAAAAGCTAATTAAACCATTTGGGAGTGATCTGGGAGAGCAGATATAAACAAACACTAAAAATTCACGTACTTGCTTTCCAATCATTATGTCAATGTCATGTGCAGCAAGTTCCCCTTACAGCCTTGATCAAACACAAATACAAGGCACACACTGTTCTCCCTGTTGTAACAAATCCCCTTCTGTGCTCAAGTAACTTTGAGCTGCAAGTTTACTTCTGCAGTATGTCACATTCATTTTTATTTTTGCTTAATAAAGTGTACGGCCCATCTGTTGTTATTGACTGATTTATATTAGCAAGACAAAAGACCTGATTAATGGTACCGCTAAACTGGTTTCACTCATGCAATTCATTCATATTAAGAAAATAAATTTTAAAAAGCCATTTTAATCTATAAACTTCATTTGGAATTTGTATTTCAGTTGCTGGCCCAAATACAGACATGGTCTTCTATTTGCCTTCTGTAATGTCTGACAACTATATATTTTTTTAAAGGCAATTCAAATGCAAAATCCATAGGAACAGGTGAAGTGTCACTGAAATCAGCATGGATAGAAGCTGGCAGGGACTGTCACACATAGGAATTTTATTTTAATTTTAGTTCAATTATCTTTTAAGGTAAAACAAATATTTGCCTAATTCAGGAACCTTTTGATGTTAGGAAATGTCTTTTGTTTGTAAAACTGTACATATTATAGCTCTTCATGCATAACAAGTGAAAAGGGAGATTTTATGGTATACTTGCCTTTTTACGGACTAGTATCCCTGCTCTAATCTGTGGCAGGAAAATATTGTGCTCTATACACCAATCTATTCATCTCTAGATCACTAGTTTTATTGCTATATATCAAGCTTTAATTCTCATCAACCCAGCATATAACTCACTATATTTCTGAACTGCGAGACTTAAACTATTATTGCTTAGATCATAACAT